CCATCAGATCAGGATTTTGACATAACCTCAAAAAACCAATATGGAGGACACATTTTTGAAAAGTTCATCGGATTCGCTTGAAATTCGTTACTCGGGGGTTTTTGGGGTCGCTGATTACGAATTTTTGAAATCTGACTTCAGATAGGGGAGAGTGGGGCAAAATGGGGTAGGCGGGTCAAATGGGGTACCTCTGTTTTTCCATGATAGGTACTTTTAATTTTTTTTCCCTCGACATATATCATTCATGTTGATAAGAAACTGTTATTAATTATGAAGACACTCCAAAAAAATTTTTTTTTTGAAAGTTATACAACTTTTAAGTTTTAAGCAAAAAAAATATGAATTTTTTTCAAAATTAAAGTGCTCTCCAAACTTTTTGGGATAATGCATTTAATTTGGCAAGTGTAGGATCTTTTTCAGTACTTATTCTAGAGTAATTTCCAATAGAATAGATTGTTTAATTGTTTACAATAACTTTTAAACATTGCATTTTGTTTTAATATGCAGTGTGGGGCAGAATGGGGTACCTAAGTGTGGGGCATGCCGGATGCTACGCCGTTTCATTAAAACTATTTAAAAACATTATATTATGCATATTTAAAGGTTTCCTGCAGAAGAATCAATATTTTTGCTTTGAGGCATTTATACTATCGATGTTTCATTATCGATATATCGATATTTTGCAATATGTTAAATTCTAATAAATATTACTTGTTTTTTCATAGTAATAAAGAATCCTACTTTTTGTTTGTATTTATAATCTCATACAACAAGAATTGAATGAATTTTGAAAAAATACTCAATGTTTTGTATAGTTATTTGATGCTACCCCATTTTGCCCCACGGGTGGGGCAAAATGGGATTTTAGCACTTTCTTAGAAAATACGATATAAGTTCTTTCAAAAATTTTTTTCTCCGCTATAATCATAATTTCCTCAAAGCTAAGTGTACAAAGAAGAATTCTGAAGTTTAGCTGAATCGATTTATTCGTTTGGTTCTCTGTAAACAGCCAATTTCAAAAAGGTACCCCATTTTGCCCCACTCTCCCCTATGTAATCAGTGACCCCAAAAACCCCAGAGTAACGAATTTTAAGCAAATCCGATGAATTTTTCAAAAACGTGTCCGCCATGTTGGATCCGCCATTTTGAAATTTTTGAAATCAGACTTTAAATTCGTAATCAGCGACCCCAAAAACCCCCGAGTAACGAATTTCAAGCGAATCCGATGAACTTTTTTTTGTTTGGCTGTGTTATTTAATGTATTTCCACTTCATTAACCCGTTGCCTGTTTCCGACCCACGGGTGGGTCGTGAAAAAGTATGGCCATAACTGTTTCCGACCCACCCGTGGGTCGTGTTCACTATCAGTCAAAATAAATATAATTTGTATATAAATTGATAGATATTTTTCTTTATATCAAAATTATAAGAAATTATAAGGGTCATTAATGATATTTTATAAAATAATTGAATAATTAGTTATAATTTAAATATATTATGCTATTTGAAAAAGTATCAGATTCCGCTGGGCAGTTTGGGACAATCATGTTGTATTTTCCTTAAACAGTTAAGGCGTTAAGGAGTTCTTTTTTATGATAGTAAATATAAAAAAAGGAAAAAATTTTGTTTGATGAAGAAAGCTACTTATTTGTTTAAAAATGAAAAATTTGTTTATAATAACATTTGTAATTGTTTAAGCTAATAAATTTTTTAAGTTTTTGAAAGAATATAAATATTAAAAATATATATAATATATATATATATATATATATATATATATATATATATATATATATATATATATATATATATATTTAAAGTTTAAAAAATAACGAAAATGTTTACAAATACAAAAGGAAGTTGATTATTGTTTATATACACTACTGTCCAAAAGTATCAGGATGATTACATTTGACTCTATAAAAAAACATGCCATCACTTTTTCAATCATATCTCGGAAATAAAAGGAGGTACAAAAAAACTTAAATACGGTTAGAAAGCTGATTAATTTCTGCGTAAAAGAAGCCATTTTTGAAGTCATTTCGTTAACTATTTTTTGAGTTGTAGAGTGAGAAAGAAATAAAAAAATTATCAAATTTTCTCATTTTTGTCTCTTGACTTCAACTTTTTCAAAAATCTAGAAAAATTTAGATACAACTTTTTTGAAAACACAGAAATCTTCGTTAGAATTTCAGCTTTAAAGTAAATCTTCGAAAATTAAAAAAGGTTAATCCGTCTTTGATATATCATTAAAAATGTAAAGCCGTGTTTCGACTGTTTGATGCATTGAAATTCAACTGTGACGACTCGATTGTGGCTTCGCGCGGCAGCGAAATAAAGAAAACAGGAACGAATTTTTGCTGGAGAATAATAAATAATGATGTTTTACGAGTAATATAAAGAAACTCAAAAGCTCATCGTTTCCCCGCATGAATTCGTTCCTGTTTTCTCTCTTTCTCTGCCGCGCGAAGCCACAATCGAGTCGTCATAGTTGAATTTCAATGCAGCAATCGGTCGAAACACTGCTTCACATTTTTAATGATATATCGAAGACGGATGAACCTTTTTTAATTTTCAAAGGCTTATTTTTAAGCTGAAATTCTAACGAAGATTTCTGTTTTTTAGAAAAATTTCATCTAAATTTTTCTAGATTTTTGAAAAAGTTGAAGTCAAAAGACAAAAATGAGAAAATTTGATAATTTTTTTTATTTCTTTCTCACTCTACAACTCAAAAAATAATTAACGAAATGACTTTAAAGACGGCTTATTTTACGCAGAATTTAATCAGCTTTCTAACCATATGTAAGTTTTTTGTGTACCTCCTTTTATTTCCGAGATATGATTTAAAAAGTGATGGCATGTTTTTTCATAGAGTCGAATGTAATCGTCCTGATACTTTTGGACGGTAGTGTAATTGTTAATAACAATGATAATTAAAACAATATATGAGAATATATCAATCAATCCAAGTCAGGTTAATAATAAAAAACACATATGTCTATTTTTACGTTTCGACAGTCACAGCCGTCCTCTTCAAAATTAAGAAAATTTTTATTTTAATTCAAATAAAATTTTTACAAAAGAAAATATAAAAAAATTAAATAACAAATAAAAATTTATATAAATTAATTATTACCGAAAAAAGACATCACGAGCACTTATCAATTAATATTTATTGTCGGACATCACATATTAAACTAACGCAGAGAGAAAAATTGTCATTACAATAATCAAACTTTGTTTATAATTACAAGTCAATGATCTGTAGAATGAATGCTAATGAGATTTCTTATAAGTGTAAGTGTAAACACACTAATAGAGAATGATCTATGAAAATATACTATATTGATAGAAAATAATTATGAATAATATAAAATTAAAAATAAAAATTAGTGTAACATTATTATCGAAAATTATTAGAGAAAAATTTTTTATAACTTTGATTTAAATTTATAGTATCTTCTTTTCTATTTAAAGATTTTTTTTGTAAATTTATATGTATCATTTCAGAGATCAATCTCTTACGCCAAATAGGCTCACTATCAAGAATCGATGTACCATCCCAATCAAAATCGTGTTTTAGCACTCGATTATGCGCAGCAATAACATTTGTTTTGGATTTTTTATGTTCGTCAATTCTCACATTCAACATTCTCTTAGTTTCCCCCACGTAAGAAGCAGAACAGTGTTTACATTTTATTTTATAAACACAATTAGTTTTTTCTTTTTTATTTGATATATCTTTGCCTTTTTTTATGTAATTACAACTGTCATTAGATTTTGGAATTGTTATTATATTGTATTCATGTAAAAGATTTGAAGTTTTATTATATAAAAATTCTGAATATGGCAAAGTAATCTTTTTAACCTTTTTGTAATAAAATATTTTATTTTTGCGTTTCTGGTTTGAATGAATAACGTTAAGGCGTTTCTTAATAAATTTTTTAATAAAAATCAATGAATAACCATTTTGACACAGCAGTTTTTTAACAATTCTGATATTTTTTTCATGAAAATTTTTGTCAGAAAGTCTAATAGCTCTATCAATTAAGTTATATACGATCGCAATTTTTTGTGATATTGGATGTTGGGAGTGAAAATTTAAAAAACGTCCAGAGAAAGTAGGTTTCATAAACCAGTCAGTTATTAAGGTGTCATTTTGTTTAATAATTAGTACGTCAAGGAAATTAATAGAATGTCTGTTTTCAATTTCATAAGTAAATTGTAAACGGTCATTGTAAGAATTAAATACATTCAAGATTTCTCTAAGTTTATCCTTAGGTATACATGTGAGAATGTCGTCAACATAACGAAAAAAGAAAAGAGGTTCAAAACATAAAATTTCCAAGCAATCTTGTTCGAGATCAATCATAACGAGATCCGCAAATAGTCCTTATATGGGTGACCCCATAGGAGTTCCGTAAGTTTGTTTGTAAAATTTCCCATTAAATTGGAAAAAGGTGTTATTAAAAAGGAACCGTATTATATTCTGAAGTTCGTCCAACGTGATATCAATTTTTTTAGAAATAGATGAGTATCTTCTTTCAATGCTTTGTAACACTAGATTACATGAAACATTTGTGAAAAGAGATTTTACATCTAAACTAATTAAGACCGTGGATTGGTTGTCTTAGTTACGGCGTAGTTTATTTTGTCGTTCGTTCTTTTGCGACGAAGCAATATTTTTCTTCTCCATTGCAGTACATTTAAGCAAGGAAAATAATTGTCAAGTAAGTTTTTTCTTACATAAAAAATATCGCTAAACACGAATATTGTGTTAGATTTTTGATATTTTTTATTTTGAAAAAAATATCATCACCAACATAAAACATATGCTTGAGGGCACGATAGGTCAGCTGTCTGGGGGCAATGTAGGTCACTATTTTGAATAAAAGAAAGTAAACTTGAATCATTTTTACAGGAAAATGGTGCGTAATTATAAGCGTCAAACGCAAAAACGAAGTAAAGACGACATAAAGAACGCAATTGCTGCTGTTCGAGATGACTGGTCCATCTAATGTTCGTCAAGAGGCTGATCCATCGTATGCCGATCAAGAGCCCGGTCGATTGAATCTAGACCAATTAATTTCAATTGAAGACATTCGACCATTTCCCAAAGCTCCACTGCGCAAACAATCGAATCGAGGCCGGAAGAGACGTACTGCTTTAACGGATTCATTGATGCTGGAGTCTTTAAGAGCTGAGCAAGCAGCTACAATTAAAAAAAATTAGCCGCCGAAGACAGAAAAAAATCAGCAGCTGAAAGAAGAGAAGAAAGGAAGGCAGAAAAACGTCAGAAGCACAAACAATCCGAAGAAAATGCACCAAAGCGCAAGCGTGGTCGTCCTAAAGCTACGCAAGCACCGAAGACACCGAAGAAGTCATTCGCAAGTACAAAACCAGACGTAACCGTTGAAAATGGATGTCCTTTATTTTTTGTTGTTATGTATTAATTCCAGTATTCATATTCTCGAAATAAATTTTTAAGCGTTAGTTTCCTAAAGTTGTACATGGTTTTTTTTAAATCTCAAAAAAAATACCTTTGCTTTATTGAATCTAACTTGAAAAATATTTAAACAAACCTAAAGTCAGTATGGCCAAAGTGTAGCGAGATAAATTACCTTTCCAATGCGTGGTTATATGTCAAAATCAGTGCAGGCACATTATCGTACGAACGCTCTAAAAAAACCGACCTATCTCACCCCACTCTACTCTACTAAGTATATTTTTTTGTTATATAAGTCCAAGAATTTGGTTTGTTGAGGTGAATTCAAAATATTTTCTTTTCAAATGCCACGTGAGTGAAATTCTGGACTTTATAAAATTTGAATGAAGTGGATTAAAAACCAAATTTTCTATTGAACTCAATCGTGTTTAATAATTTAATTTAATTATCTTTAAATAACTTAACTTTAAAGTCAAAGTAATGTGAAAACTGTAATATTCCCCAAATTTCAATTTCCTAATTTTCAAAACAACGAAATTCTTATCATCGAAACTTCATTTCGCATAATTTTCAAAATTTCATTCAACTTAATTTTTAATTTATCGAATTATTCTTTATCCTAATATTCAAATAGTCGACTTGTTTTTTAATATAATTTTTAATATGTCGACAAATTCTTAGACATAAATTTTGTTTTTGCGAATGACTATTTTTCATAATTATTAATCCTCCGAATTACCATTTGACATAATTTTCAAACCTTCGAAATATTATATTACATAAATTTCATTTATCGAAATTTTATTTGTCATAATGTTTATCTACTCGAATTATCAAGTGACATACCAGTCATCTGATCTCATACTCGAACTTGAAATATCTCGATGTAGGGAAACAGCCTCATTGCAACAATATTTTTCTGCATGTATGAAGAGGTGTGAATGTACCATTATATAATCGTGAATTTTGATTATTATAAGCCTATATTCTATGCCTTCTTTTCCTCTAAAAATATTCAGGAGTTACGTTTACCCTTTACATACTGTATATGTTAAACTTTTATTATCCAAATCCATCCTCGTGACTGCAAATATGTCTTCATCAGAAAAAGAGAACGAGAAATACTTTTTATATGTGAGATTCTACACAAGTAAAACGTTTTGCATTTGTTAATGTGTGCGATGTTAAAAACTTTGAAAAGAATTTTAAAGAGAAGTTCTTTTTGGTGAAAGCTAACGATGGTAAATTTTATCGTGCCCAAATATTATTCATAGGAAGTGAGAATAATTATTTTCATTTATTTATTTATACGTATATTATGTAGTAAGAAAAACTACCATGTCAATCATAGGAAAACATGCATTCTGCATGAGTATGTCTCACTCCCACTCATTTACTTATTTAATAACATAAGTTCCTAGGGCTAAGGAGCCCTCTAAGGAACAATACATAGTACATGGCTGAGTAGAAAGTTATATAAATTAAAAACTCAATCAATCATCCATTTATCGCTCCAATTAACAATACTTTATGTATGCCAAAAAAAGCTTTTTCTAGTAAAGAAAAGAAAAAATTAAAATAATATATTACCAATAAGTTACGTCTAATATTTTACTATTATTGTGAAATAACAATTGGAAAAATATCTTCTTCAATATTAATTGTGTTGGTACATTTCTAACTTCAATGGATAATTTATTCCACAACCTACACTGCAAAAAGAAGTATCTTAATTTAAGATGTTTTGGTAGTCATTTCTAAGATGTTTTGGTAGACACTTTTTAGTTACTTGAAACATCTTAATTTAAGATGTTAAAAGTATCTTCGTTCACATTTTCTGTATATTTTTGGGGTAAAAAGTTTTGAGGTTAACTATGGGCTCTTATGGAAAACACTTTATGTATCTTAGTTTTTAGTAACTTACACTTATGGCGCATCTTACGATTCTCAAGTAACTTATCGCTAAACACCTTATTGCAACAGAAACATCTTAATTTAAGATACTTCAAAGAACTTACAAAAGTATCTTACTTTTCTAAGATGGAAGAAATATCTTCATCACTGCTAAAACGTATAAAGCATCTTAAATATCAGTAAGATGCTTTAGAAAACATCTTATTTTAAGATGTAAGATACCATTTTTCCATCTTACATCTTATTTTAAGATATCAAAAAAAAGACACCTATTTTTGCAGTGAATCACTTCTAACAATGAACAATGCTATGACTGACATGAAAGCTTTTCTTACTATATATGTTCAACACATTTTATAATTGTAATTTTTTGTTTCTTTTTAGGGTTCCGTACCCGGTAGGAACCCTATTAAAACTGTTACGGAAAATGACCATGTACCCCCCCTAGCGCTCACAGTTTTTCATCTAGGGAGCTAAAAATTAGTTCAACGTATGTATTTTCACGCGTACACGGAGAGAAAAAACAAGGCTTTTCCCCATGAAAAAATACACATTTAACGCGTGAAAATTATCACATTAAAAATGCAGGACGCTCACGGGTTTTCCCGGTGAGATTCTTGCAACGAGCTAAGGCCAATAGGGGCTAAGGCATGGCCTAACCGCTAAACGCAAGAAATTCATCGGGAAATCCGGTGAAACTCCTACCTGAAAAAGGCATGAATTGAAGTCACAGGGAAAAGCCTTGTTTTTTCTCTCCGTGTAGATGACACGAAAAATATAGCGAACGTGATTGGAGTTGATCTTCATAGAATTTTCCGCGAAAAACATCAAATTTTGGCCGATTTTCGCAAAAAAAAGGCATGTACCCCCCCCCTTGCGCTCACAGTTTTTTACCTAGAAAGTTGAAAATTGGAATTCTTGGCCTATTGGACTGCAGTTTTGCTTATTTTATGTAGTTTCGTGTGTAAATTTCCGGAAAAATATAACGCACATGATTAGATTTGATCTTCAAATTTTTTTCAGCGGAAAACAAAGTTTTTATAAATTTTTGTCAAAAAGCGCGTATTTCACCCTAGCGCTCACAGTTTTTTACCTAAAGAGCTGAAAATTGGTACACTTATGTAATTTCACGTGTAGATTACATGAAAAATATAGTGGAAATGAATAGAATTGATCTTCATTGCGTTTTGAGCTGAAACCTAAATTTTTTTTCAATTTTTGATAATAATTATACCTATGCTAGTTCTCTCAATTCTTAGTCTAGTGGACTGGCGTTGGGCATTTTTTATTTATTTTCACGTGTAGATTACAGAAAAAATACAAAAAAAGTTATTAGAGTTCATCTTCATATTTTTTTGCGAAAAACTAGAAATTTTTTTTAATTTAGAAAAAAAAGTGTGTATCCTCCCCTTGGTTTTCACAATTCTTTGGCTATTGGACTGCAGTTTTGCTTATTTTATGTAGTTTCGTGTGTAGGTTTCAGAAAAAATACACGGAACATGATTGGATTTTATCTTCATATTTTTTTCAGCGAAAAACTCCAAGTTTTTAAAAATTTCGGCAAAAAAGCGTGTTTTTTACCCTAGCGCCCACAGTTTTTTATCTGAAGAGATGAAAAGTTGTTATTTATTTATTTTCACCTGTAGATTACAGAAAAAATACAGCGAAACATATTGTAGTTGATCTTTATATTTTTTTCAGCAAAAAAGTAGAAGTTTTAAACGAGGGTACGGAACCCTCGGTGTTAGTACGAGTTCTACTCGCACTTGTCCGGTGTTTTTAAAAATTGTAAAATATTGTCCTGTAATTAAAGAATCATTTTGGTTCTAAAATTGTTTCTAAGACTTTCTTATAACGTATTATATTTCCTCCAAATGTTTAAAAACGTATCTAAAACATTATTTGTCTAACATAAAACGTTCTAATGACGTCATAGAAATGTTTGTCTATACTGAGAGGTTATTTTAAACATAATCTTTAAATGATAAAATTCTTCATAATACAAATAAATTTTTTTTAAATTTGAGAAAAATTATAATATTCTTTTTAATGTTTAAAGTTACTTGTTTTGATTAATTATTTTTAAACATTAAAATATTTGGATTAAAGAATAAAAAAAATTTCATTCTTAATTTTTTTACAGATTAGTGATTTCATTATTTTTTGTGAATTATGGATTTCACTGACGAATATGAGAATTTTGTTGAAAGAAATTACACTTCTTCTATTACTAGGACTGAAGAAACTAATCAATGTTAGGTAAGAATAAACAAAAATGCTTTTTTTAATTTAGTAAAACCATAAAACATGTTTTGAAATATTATACTTATATTAATCTGTAAAGTATATGTATTTAAAACTGCGAATTCTCGTTAACAGGAATAAATAATAAATCAAACGCGTCTAAATATTTCTATTTAAATCATTTCAAAAATGTAATTTAACTTTTTATCTATTTTAAATTATTGTTTTTGTGTATTTTTTACAATTTTATATTATTACTATTTAAAAATGAAATTTGAAAAAATAGAAATTAAAATATGACACGAGGAAATAAAAGAAATTTGTAAATTAAATTTTGCGGCCACCCTTAATTAATAAATTTAAATTTTATTTTTTTAAAGAAGTAAAATATTGTTTATTTTAATAAAAATTGGAATATTAATACGTGACATTGGTCAACAGGATTAATATTATGCAGATGAAGATTTTCTACAAAAAAGATCAGAGGATGTAACTGATGAACTCTGCATAAATCTGTTTTACAGAAAACTGTTGCCCTTTGCAGTGTAATAAAACAATAACAAAGGAAATCGCTTTAGAACAGAGGTATATATTAATTATTGTTACTATTTAATTTATTTATATAATTAATTTTTTCTTGATGATAAAAAATTTTTTTAACGCAACAGGTTGTTATTAATCATAAAAAAATATTAATTCGACAGGTTATGCTTTATGGAACTAACGAAAGAAATTCAAGATCTCGTAATTTGTTCACATCTTGAACTTCATCAACACTTTTCTTCGC